ATAAAGATTTGAAATTTATCGCGATTATTATCTATATCGACTAATATGAAACATTTTATTGTGATATACGTACACACACACACACACACATATAAGCATGTAAAACAAGGAAAGAAAACTCCATTACATCTTCTGAGTTATGAAAGAACAACCTTTGAGCAATCAGATATTCCTCTGGGAAAGGAAGGGGAAAACACTTGAATATATAAACTCTTGCAGACACAAAGCAGCAGTTTGACTTGACACAAGGCGACAGCTTGTACAAACAGCACAAAGCTTTAGAAAGTATTGTTCCTATATATAGTTTTAAAAGGCATTGTAAAACAGCTCATATTAGATCACTAGAACAGGCTTGTAACCTCAGTATTTTTATCTTGTGTGAGAATCTCACCGCACCTCTGTCTAGTCAATGTTGTGTTCTAAGTCCAGCTTTTCTGGTAAAGTGGGTTGGAAATGCAATTTAATAGGCGAGATAGTGAGAGTGGCTGGGCTGGGGGATTTACTGTTGTAATTGAATTTGTTGGCCTTATGCAACAGTCATTTACATTGTTACATGCTTTCTAATAGTAGTTTAGTATTTTTTTGTGACCTCATATTTAAAAAAATGTACATGGAATATTTGAACATTGTCACACTGCAGGACTATTTAAGTGCACTGTTGAATTAAAAAAAACATCAGCTAGCAAGTTACAAATACAGGAAGAGAGAAGCATGCCACAATGCACAATACAGGGGAATCTTTCAGCAACATTAAACTAACTACTACAAACACCCACTACTTCCTTTAATGTTACTGACATTTCTGTAATTCTGCTGACATTTTTACCTGCATGGTTCGGGATGACATAAAGATTATGATCTAATGACCCTCATGCACTTGTGGGGGCTGCCAAGTGTAATATTGAATTTGTAAAGCAAACAGTAATACACAGCTTCAAATATATTTATTTTGTGGTAAGGCATGTTATGCTGCTAATTAATTAAATAATTAATTAATAACGGACATCAGTATTTTTTAATTTGTTGATATATATATTGGTTGTCTGGGACTAAAGCAGTCATTATAAAAATGACCTGATAGCGTTGTAATCAATAATGATGTCCAATTGAAGCCTCATCTATATGGAAAAAACAAATTATCCACCAGGGTTAATGGACATATTGGCACGAATGAATGTGCATCTTTATTGTATAAATGACTGGCAGCTGTTTCTGAATAAATGAAAACAATTTACAGTCCAAAAGAGTGATGTTATGTTTTATGCCTTGTTTTTGTGGGTGGTCTCAAAAACGGAGTACTCTGAGCCGAGCCACAAAGAGCCCTTAGCGCTGTGTTTTACTGGACTAAGTGTTTGGTGAAGCAGAGATTTGTCTCCCTTCATAAAACAGAGAGCTATGCATGCAAACAAGTGATGAGGATGCCCAGAATCAAATTATCACGCTTCTGTGCTCAACCCAAACAATAGAGATTCAGAAAGATAGAGAGAGACCAAGACCTAAAGCCATCAGCAGTTGTAAACTGCAGTCAGCTGACTGTTAAATCTGGTGTGAAACAAGACCATCAATATCAAATATGACCATCCTGTTGGTGTTATGCTATTTGTCTTTTGGTTGAATATCATTGAATATCATAATTCAATTTAGTACTAAAAAACAAGATAAATAAGAAGTGTTAAACAAGTGTTTTGCTTAATTTCATGATATGTGTGTGATAAATTGCAATTAATCGCACAAAAAGTGTGCGATTTAATCGCTATTAAAAAATTTTATCCATTGACCGCTCTTCTAAAAATAGTTATATTTCTTATAAAGAAAATTAAGCCTGTTTTTAGGACCAATAGAGTTTTTTCATTGTGACATTGTTTTCAGGACAGTTAAACCCCTCTCCTAATTGTATGTGGCGTATTGAAATGCAAAAAAATCTCATTCTCATTACAGCAATGTGAAAAAATTATTATATGTGTGTGTGTGTGGGGGGGGGGGGGGGGGTGTACTTATTTGTCATAAAAATCATGCAAAAAAATACAAGTTTATGCAAATTATAATTTGTTTTCTTTTGATTTCAGGGGAAAATATAAATGACTGTGACATTTCTCCATGAGTGGTGTGCGTTTGAATGTAAATCTGCAACTTGTGATTTGAAAATGTGTAGTTTCATATCACATGTGACTCAATGGTCGTTGGATGGAAAACATGCAATTCAGATGATGATCTGATAGAGAGCCACTATGCATTGTATAACATAATTTTTTTTTTTACCTTGACTTGATTTAAAAATACATAAATAAGTGTGACATTTAAAACATGTTTTTCTATCTTTCCAAAACGATTGATAAGTCTGCAGTGTGTATGTAAAATAGTCTGTCATGCACCGGCTGGCTTCCGCTGTCGACAGAAAAGTATTGCTTCTGTTTTCCCAACTTTCTCTCTCTCTCTCTCTCTCTCTCACACACACACACAAACACACAAACACCCACCCACATATACACGGAATAGGCCACATAAGTTCCTAGGCAACAACACTAACCTTTTGAGGGAATTAACTGAGAATGGTGTGACCCTTTGTTAGCTCACATCACATGAGAGGAGTGGGTATACGTGCTTCATTGTCTCTGCCTTTTCTGTCGTATCAGTTTTTGAGCTCGTTCATTCGAGGAATAACAAACTGCCTTTAAAGTGGATCGTAAAAAATCGTTCTCATGCTGAAAAACTTTCATAAGAGGTTAGGTTAAGGTACTCCTTTTGTTTAGACTAGAGCTTTGCATATGTTTGTTTGTTGGTTTTAAATATGTGGCTAGTTTTCTGTGTTCACAGACACTCACTGAATCACTATTATGAAACTTTTACACCTGCTACTATTATTAGTCGCTAAAAAATCTCTAGACGTAGACTTGCTTTAAATAGGTCACCTATTTATTCTCCATCAAAGCTGTTTGGCTTAAAAAGTTTGAAAAAGTTTAAAAGTTTGAAGACACCTTAATGAATGTGCACAGGAAGAAAAACTTTAGTTTGGGACTAGCATACTGATATCCCTAGACTGTCTTTTTCCTTAATGAGAGTGCTGATCCATTTTCCATCACAGATGAGACCCAGAAACATAATGTTTCTGTATAATGCACACACAAAAAGTGAGATATTGTGTCTCATTTAGCCTCAGGCCCTTGAATCAATGCTATATACACACGGACAACTTTTAGTCTTGTCAGCTGACATTGAAAAAGTTTTGAAAGTTGTGCACAGTTGTACTCTTTATTCTTTCAACAAATAAATGGTTATATGTGAATCTCAAACTCTTTTCTGTCAGCTTTCCACTGGTGTCATACACAGAAACACAAGATGAATATTTAAATTGGGAACGCAACCTTTTTATTAGCCATGTGACCTATAGTTTTGCTTTCTTGAGCATGTCACAGTGACTTCACTATGTAAATGGATGATTGATGATGTGACATGCTGCTTTACATAGCCTGGCTATGGAGATAGAATTGTTGCATAGTTCCAAATAAATAGATTATGATCCACAAATAAATGTAAAGAGATTAAACACATTGACAAACAGAATGAGATCCACAAATAAATCTTATGAATTCAATTCACAAATAAATAAAAACGAAATTTGCAAATATTTGTAGATTTTGAAACATTTCTAACGTCCAGACGCTGACAAATCCACAAATGCGTGGACTCCACCCACCGTCTGCTCAAGCCAATCAGATAACAGCAACACTTCGCTGACCAATCTTAGCACCTTTTCGCTATAAAGCAAAATGTGATTGGTTATAGTTCATATAATTGGTCAGCGAAGTGTGCGCAGATGCGTGCAGCGATCCACAAATGAATGCCAGGTTGTGATTGTGACATAAAAATATACTGTATATTTGTGAATGTTTTTTTTATTTGCAAATTTCATTTTTTTTATTTGTGAGTTTAATTCATGTTTGTAAAACTCTAAGATTTATTTGTAGATCTCATTCTGTTTGTCATTGTGTTTAATCTCTTTACATTTATTTGTGGATCATAATCTGTTTATGGAATTATGCAACAATTCTATCATATTCTATCAATTATGCAACAATTCTACCATAGTCTGGCATACGTAATAGTTTCTAAAACTTATAATATCGCAATTTATAGGTTCTAAAATTTTAAATGTTGTAAGATTCTTAATGTTTTTGAAAGAAGTCTCTTATGCTCACCCAGGCTTTGTTTGATCAAAATACAGTAAAAACAGTAATATTGTGAAATATTATTACAATTTAAAAATAACTGTTTTCTATTTGAATGTATTTTAAAATTTAATTTTTTCCTGTGAAGGCAAAGCTGAATTTTCAGCATCATTACTCCAGTCTTCAGTGTCACATGATCCTTCAGAAATCATTCTAAAATGCATTCTAATAAGAAACATTTGTTATTATTAAAATCTTACAGACTCTAATATGCTGTCATTTCAATCTGTGCAGCATCCAAAATTTTTTACCTTTTTTTTTATAATATCCAGAATCCTTGTATGGTATGAGACATATTTTTCTCTGTTCATGCATGAATAGCAAATTATTCAGACACATTTTTAGTCTTTGCTCAGCCTGAAAGAATAAATAACATTTTAGACATCAGAAGGGCAAAAATGTGAACTTTGAATTGTTACTTTTTTTTATAAAATGGTTCTCCATGTTCATGGACAATTTTATTATCACATAGTATTAGATTATTCACACAAAAATGCAACAGTGATTAATTTTGTCTGTCACTGTTGTCAAAGCATTTATGGTATGTGCCGCAGGCAATGTTGACAGCAATGAGCATGCTTTGTATTTGCATAATTGTGTCTAGGCCTGAAGCTTTTCTTTCATCATCAACATCATCTTAATGGCATTTGGTTATATTGTGGATTTTATGCTTCCTTTAAGTGCACGAAAACATCTTAATGCATAAAAAGTGAAGATGGACATGGCTTTCATCTGTGTTTTCCTCTCACCAACCTTTCTCTTTCACTCTTTCAGTGTTATTCAGAGGCTCTGGCGTGATGTCAGACCCGGGCAAGACGGATGACAGAGAGCTGAGGCCGGTAGACTTCATCCAGCTTCAGCAGTACATTGACTGTAAGTCTGTGATGCCCACACATCCCTCCCACTCTCACTAAACACTTGGCCTCATTACAAACCATGACTCACTATCAGTCCTTAAGTGCGAAATGACACTTTATTCTCGGGGTTGAAAAAACCCTGTCGTGTGCATCCAAGACATCTGTGACCAGTTTACTTACAGTTTTACATGGATGTATTTGCTTAAGTATTTTTTACATGGACAACCATTGGTGGGAAAGACTGACTGATTGACACCATTTAGATATTGGTAATGTCATTACAGTCATGGGATTAGGAAAAAAAATACATTGATAAAAATGGAAATAAAATTTCTGGTTACACTTTATTTTAAGGCATCCTTGTTACTGTGTAATTGTACAATTAAGTACTGATTAATATTAATTAACAACATGTGCTTAAAGGTGGGGTAAGCGATTTCTGGTAGCCAATGTTGACATTTGAAATCACCAAAACAAACACGCCCCTACCCCAAAAGGGTCTCGCCCCTATTTTGATAGCTCCGCCCCACACATACGTACACAACCCAGGCAATGATTAGTTCTGCAATGTTACACCATGTCTACACCGGACACGAGTGGCGCGGCGCGACAAAATACTATGGAACTCATTATAATCAGTGATGCTGTCTACACCATAGATATATATACTAGTGCTGTGTTCAAAATATCGATACGACGATGTATCGTCACAGAGATTTGACGATACGAGTATCGTTACAGCTGGCCCTGTATCGATATTGTGGCACGTGTGCAGCAGTGGACCGTGCTTAATTTGTTTACAATTTTGCAACGTTTAAAATGGAGTAGAAAAGTGCGAGGTTTCTAAAAAAGAATGAATAGACCATATATAGGCTACAACAAGGTTTAATCTGGCCACAGAGGAACACAACTGGGTTGCCTGATATAAAGAGACGTAATCCCCAAAACAGAGCTTTACACTTGCGCAATACGGAAATATCTGCTAAATGTGTTACTTATCTTTGTCAACCTGGCAACCCTGTGCACGCGCTCTCTCTCCACTAAGGATAAATGCGCTTGCTTTCTGAAAACAGCGGTTAGCTTGCAGTTTAGCGATCTCCACTTCAATATTCTATTCTCAGAAAAGTGTAATTCATCAAGTGTTCGTTTATGAGAGAGAAAGAGTGAGGCTGTGTATGTATGAATTACCACCGTTTTGCCGCGTTTCTCTATTAACAGTAAAGCTGTGGCTTTAATTCCTTTAGAAACAATGATACCAGCTCCTTGTTGAAAAACATAATGTATGTTAGCTCTTGAGCAATTAAGCTATTTAGTTGATAAAACTGCGGGGCAGCGCTAAAAAGTTTGTTCCTGAATGTCTGAGTGCGGCCACAAAGTGATCTTCTTCTTCTTGTTTTATGGCCAGTAACTGCTTAGGAGCATTATCGCCACCTACTGTACTGGAGGTCAAGTAAACTTAAGTTGCAAAAGCTGTTCCTTATACAGTATGTACATGTAACTTTTCCGGCCTCTTATTGCTACCTGTCCCAACTTTTTTGGAATGTGTAGCTCTCATGAAATCCAAAATGAGCCAATATTTGGCATGACATTTCAAAATGTCTCACTTTCAACATTTGATATGTTATCTATATTCTATTGTGAATAAAATATAAGTTTATGAGATTTGTAAATTATTCCATTCCTTTTTTACTCACAATTTGTACAGTGTCCCATCTTTTTTGGAATTGGATTTGTATACATATCTATGATCTACACTGGATGCGGCGCGGCATGACACGACAAATCCCCGACAGAAAACTGCTGCTGCGTTCTATTCATGTCGTATTTCAAATGATTTTCAATGGTCGCTTTGTTGCGTCCAGTGTACTAGACAGACTTTAGCTGTTGCGGTGCAGACACGGTGTTACTCACCTATCGAGAAGAAACAAAGCAACCTCGGCGTCCGATCACAGGCCTTCCGCTCCTTGAGTTCTCTCCAGCGCTGGAAAGCTGATCCGATATTTACACAGGTCCTACTTCTTGCCTTAAGCCTTCTTTTGTTCTGCAGACGTTTTCCTCTTTTGTTTTTTATCCGCCATCTCTATCTCTCCGTCGCTCGGCTAATGTCCATCCTGTGCACTAAACGCTCTCTCCTCCACATCAGTTTGTTTTGCTGTTCGGCCCAATCAGTTTTCTAAAGCGTTTTTGGAAAATCGCTTACCCCACCTTTAATATAGGGTTAGGGTTAGCAATAGGGTTTGGTTTAAGGTTATTTGCATGTAATTATGCAAACTAAAATGTTACTGTTATTACTATAGTAAGTACATGCAACATGTGTAACAATTTATGAAAATTGTGAAAAGTGAAAATCATTTCTACACACAGTGTTAAACATCAGTTTATACAGTACATTTTCATTTCCTCATCATATAGGTCTTAATATATTGGATAAAATATTAAAATCACTAATATTTTTCGCATTAAGCGATGTTACCAGCTTTTAAAATGAAAAACTAGCAATTGTTAAGAAATAAAAGTGTTTCTGTACCTCATTTGATAGAGTGTTGAACTAGCAGTGCCAAGATCATGGGTTCAATTCCCAGAGAACACCCAAATTGTCAGAAAATATATATATCATAGACACGTATACTTTACTGATTTGTATAAAAACATCTGATAAATGCATAAGTGTAAATGTAAATAATATATTCCAGGTGGCTCTTCATGGATATAGATCCATTTCAAAATCCCTTCAAAATGAATTGTTCACTGGTAAATTAAAATTAAAATTGTATATTTTATTTGCAATTAAAAAAATATTTGACAAAAATATTTTGTCAAATGAATCGCATAATTTGACAAAAATATTTTGTCAAAATACATAGGGGCATCATACCCATGTCCTGGCTGGGATTTCTAAATTGCTTAAAATGCCGTTCTTGCTAATGATAATGTCTAAAAAGTAGTTTGATCAATAGCATGCAGGCATTATATGTAATCGGCCAATCATGGCATGCAAGAAGGTGCGATTTACAGAGAACAGTCAAAACAGTGCAAAAATGCATACAGTACATATAATATATGAGGACTGTAGAGAGCACATCAGAAGGAAAACAAAGCCAAAAACCTGGACATTTTATGCAATTCAGAAATCCCAGCCAGGACATGTCCAGGAATAAGAGGATATATGGTCGTCAGTGGAGAAAGACATTTTGCATATTCTGTAGTTGCAGTATCTGATCAGCAGGGGCTAACAGGGTCATGCTAAGCAGCCAAACCTTGACCCTTTGGTTGCTCCATCCATGTGTCTCATGCATGAGTGAAGGATTTTTATACAGTAAGTTGTTGAAGGATTTTTATACAGTAAGGTGTTGTAGATACTTGCCCTAAGTATAAGTTTTTGCTAAGCCTGTTTTTCATGCAGAGTTGATGCAGATACGGTTCATTATAAGGTGTGATGTCTGTGGTTCTTTGTGCCAAAATGTCATCATGTCGTTTTTTTTCTCTTTCTCTCTTTCTTTGCTCCCTCCCACTCGCCCTGTCTATCTCTTTGCAGACTGCAGTCTAAAAGTAAAAGATGTGTTAAAGGAATTCAATGCAGATGGCAGGTTAGCCAAGTACAGACACGGAGAGGTGAGTGAACAGGCTGCCAGGGGCCAACTGTCAGCACTCTGCTTTTACAGCATCTTAGTCTAATTACCCTTGAACAGATCCATCCATCTCTGTAATGTGAATCACTTCACGTCTGGTTAAGCATATCTGAGCTCATCCGCTGGACAATTCATGTAACGTGTACCTGCTTAGTCAATGAGTGCCGTATGTACCTCAGTACTGATTTTAGCCCCACACAAAATTCACTGCCTTTATGTGAAGCTGTAGTGGGTGGTTGCCAGAATTTTTTTTTCTGCAGTTTCTATTCTTAGTGATTTTTTGCGTGTTGCTACACATTTACTAGGGTATTCTGGTGACCCAAGCCAAAAGTGCTGATCCCCAAGTAGTTATATAGCGCTTAATACAATACAGATTGTGTCAAAGCAGCTTTACAGTGTTAAACAGAAAAATAGGGTGTCGATAATGTAGGAGGACAATAGTAAACAGTCAATTTTTCAGTTAAAGTTAATTGTTCATTCAGTGATGCCATAATCCAGCTCAATTCAGTTATCTTCAAATAGTGTCTGTACAACAAAGCTGACATTATTGCCAGAAATTAAGTATTTTATACTTATTTGATAAAGTTGATCAAATGTAAAAATAGCTTTTATATTGTTAGTTATATTTCAAGATGAACATTTACTGGACTGAAGCAACCTAGGTTTACTTGATTATCCATACTTCTTTTTTTTTTTTACTTTCTTTTTTTTAGAAAAATAATGTTAAAATGTAAATATTTATAATGTTTACATTTTTATAATATTTTAAATATTTATAATATTTATAAATAAAACAGACTTTTGAAGAATCTTTATTTGTACACAAGTAAATTTTTCTCTCCATCTTCATTGTTTTGCTTTGCATATGTTTTGCCCTCCCCAACTGATATTTATATGCATTTTATGTATGTAGTCTGATATACTGTTATAAAGATCTTATTGGTTTACATCACAAGCTATCAGAATTTTATCACAAAAGCTTGATGTATCAAATATAATACAAAACATAAAATACATATAAAAATTACATATATATTAAAATCTAAAATTACATATATTTTAAAAAGGTTCGATAAACTGTTCCATTAAAAAAACATTTCTGACTATTTTCCTTTACGAGGTTAGCTTATCGTCCATGTCTGTACAGACAGTGCAGGACGAACTACACACCTTAACCCTAAGTCTAATGCTTCCGATCACTATTGTGGCCCTGGACCACAAAACCAGTCATACGGGTAATTTTTTGAATAAATAAGCTTTCCATTGATGTATGGTTTGTTATGATAGGACAATATTTGGCCGAGATACAACTATTTGAAAATCTGGAATCTGAGGGTGCAAAAAAATCTAAATATTGAGAAAATCGCCTTTAAAGTTGTCCAAATGAAGTTCTTAGCAATGCATATTACTAATCAAAAATTAAGTTTTGATATATTTACAGTAGGACATTTACAAAATATCTTCATGGAACATGATCTTTACTTAATATCCTAATGATTTTTGGCATAAAAGAAAAATCTATAATTTTGACCCATACAACCCTGGACCACAAAACCAGTCATACGGGTAATTTTTTTAATAAATAAGCTTTCCATTGATGTATGGTTTGTTATGATAGGACAATATTTGGCCGAGATACAACTATTTGAAAATCTGGAATCTGAGGGTGCAAAAAAATCTAAATATTGAGAAAATCGCCTTTAAAGTTGTCCAAATGAAGTTCTTAGCAATGCATATTACTAATCAAAAATTAAGTTTTGATATATTTACAGTAGGACATTTACAAAATATCTTCATGGAACATGATCTTTACTTAATATCCTAATGATTTTTGGCATAAAAGAAAAATCTATAATTTTGACCCATACATTGTATTTTTGGCTATTGCTACAAATATACCCCAGCGACTTAAGACTGGTTTTGTGGTCCAGGGTCACAATTGTAATAGTTAAACCACAGGATGTTCAGTGTAAAATGGAAAGAGATTGCTCTGAAGTCGAGGGATTATAGCTCAAAAAGATTTGCTATTTAGACATGCTCACATTGCACAGATTTAGTCCATATACCTGATATGTGCACTAGTTTTTCAGCTGACTGTGTGCTGACTTGGCTCTCAAACACTACACTGCATGTTGCAGGTGTTTTGTTTCAGTAATTTTTGTGTTTGTCTCACTCTAAGCTTTATATTTTGCTTGTGTCGGGCAACTAAAGCAAAATAAGCAACAAATTATGTCAGGGATGTCTTATGTATGTCAGAATGGGAGGAGTATCTGACTGTAACACAGCCTATATCTCGGTTTTCCTCTTTTTACTCCAGACAGAACAGCAGTATCCTGAGGCCTTTGAAGTTTGAATACAACTTGCTGGACTTTTTTCTCTCTTATTAACTCTATTAAAAACTAGGACAGGAACAGCAGGCACTTAGTAGAACTAGGATTAGGTTTGTAGTGCAGAATCTAATTGGATCTACATTATATCCTCTTGAGAAGGTTCCAGATCATTTTATGACTTTATTAGTTTCCAATAATGTGTACTTTCTGAATGATTACCAAAATAGATGTTATTTAAAAGCCCAATGATATATTCCAAAAACTAAGTGTCAGTGGTTTGTGTTTGTGTGTGTATTTAGTGTTCCTTAAATGCGTAGCAGCCTTTAATGAGGCACACTCATCTTTTAGTGTACAAAATGATTTGTCTTTAGTGCATTGATGAGGAAGGGTTCCGCCTTTTCCTGAAGACGTATTTGGAGGTGGAGGACTTCCCAGTGGATCTGTGCCAGCGGCTGTTCAGATCCTTCCAGAACTCAGAGTCAGCAAAATCAGATGAAAACAGTGGGTCATGCATATGCTTGTATATGTATATGTGCCTACACATACATACACGCACACACATTTTTTTTATGAAATTAATGCTTTTCATAAAAGACACATTCAATTAATTAAAAGTGCCAGTAAAGACATTTTTAATGTTATTATGTTAAGATTTCTCTGTCAGATAAATGCTGTTGTTTTGAACTTTCTATTCACTAAAGAATCCTGACATGAAGTATCATGGTTTCCACAAAAATATTAAGCAGAACAACCGTTTTCAACATTGATAATAATAAGAATTGATTCTTGAGCAGCAAGAATCACAGGGGAATAAATTACACTTTAAAATATGTTAAAATAGAAAAAAAGCTATTTTAAATTGTAGAAATACTGCACAATATTACTGAACAAAGGAATTCTTGTATTGTGAATATAAGGCTGTCTTTGCTTTCTCTCTTAGGGGAAGTCTTTCTGAAGGACGTGTCCTGTTATTTCTCTCTCCTGGAAGACGGACAGCCTAGGGACAAACTTGAATGTAAATCTCAGTTTTTTGCCACTTCCAATATCTATAATGATTGTTGGCATCTTTGCAATACGTCTTCATGTTTTTCCCTTTACAGTTGCCTTTAGACTGTATGACAGAGATGGCAACGGTGTCCTGGACAGTTCGGTGGGTGGTCTTAGCCTGAAATATAATCTACTTCCAATTTCTCATTATGTAACAAAACTCAATCATCATGCTCAAATTACATCTTTCGGTAATAACCAGTCATGTTTCTGAAAAACAGGAAGTGGATCGCATTATTGCCCAGATGATGCACGCAGCAGATTACCTCGGTTGGGATGTGTCTGAACTGAGGCCTGTGAGTTGTGTTTTGTTTGTATGTATGTGTGTGTGTGTGTAATATTTGCTGAGAAGAAGTGAAATGCCTATGCGCTCGACAAGATATTTTCCATCTTAACCACACCTTGCTGAAGAGACATTCCTCCTCATTTGGCATGAATCAACTTGTCATGGAGCAAAATAAGGAAGGGAAAAAATGAATCTGACAAGATCGTTTCATAATGTTGCTCCTTATGATTCAAATGATCCCCTGAAGTGATGATTTTGTTACATCATATACAGGTTAGAACAGAAATGCACAGACACACTAATACAAAAGCATATACTTTCTCTTTACACATTGTGCTTGTTCTCAGGTGCTGAAGGATATGATGACAGCGATTGATGCAGATAGCAGTGGAACGGTGTCATTACAGGAATGGGTGGAGGGGGGAATGAATAACGTCCCGCTACTGGTTTTACTGGGACTGAAGGTAGGAAAGCACAGTTTCAGGTGCAATGTCAGAGAGCTGCTATTTTTGGAGTGTACAAGACTGTACCTCAGATTAAACTGCTCAGAACAAAGAGAAAACAATGTAAAATTTAGTAGATGTGTGTATTTATTGCACTCTGTCCTTCTGAGGAGACTTTAGTTCTGTTATCTGGCTCAGCCTCAAAATAGCATACCAAAAGCCATGCTGACTTTGCACTAGTGCAAGCAACAGTGACACCTCTAACACATGCTTGCATGCACGCACATACTTACTGTATATGCACATCAAAAAGTATATTAGCACTTTTTTCTTTTTTTATGCATAACTTTTATTTCATTATCATCTAAGAATGATTTCTGCTGCTGAAAATTCAGCTTTGGCATCAAAGGAATATTTTATTTTTAATAAATGTTAAAATATATAAAAATGGAAAACAGTTATTTTTTGTTGTAATAATATTTCACAATATTACTGTTATAATTTTGTTTTAATTAACGAAACATATATATATATATATATATATATATATATATATATATAT